CCGGCTTCCCCTCCACGTGGCAGCAGATGGACCCAGCGCTTCCCTTGTGCGACAGGATCACTCCCACCAGCTCACGCCATCTGCCACGGTGACCCTAAGTGCTCCTCTTCCCGCCTCCAGGCGCCGAGCGCTCCTGCTCCCACGCGCTGCTGCCTTGCCTCCGCCTCTCCCCGCTCCCCCACAGCCGTCTCCTTCTGCTCTGCCTCCAGCACCGGCTCTCCCAGTCCCAGTATGCAGACGCAGCATCGTGCCCAGCTCAAACGACTGGACAGGGCCCTGGGCACAGACAACATGCCCCCTGTCCCAGGGGTTTCCCCAGACTAGCTCACAGACCTGCCCTTTCGGGGCTAGCCTAGCATCAGCCTCTTTTCAGTCACCACAGCGGCATCAGGAGCCTTCTCCTTGGTGTCCTCAGCTTCCTAGATTAGCCCCGGGGCCTCCCGTCAGACCCTCCCCAGCCCAAAGCTCAGGGCAAGACGCTTGGCCGCCCAGGCCTCTCTCAGCCAGTTCAGCAAAGCACCCTGGGGCAACCCCCCCATGCAGTGCCAAAATCCAGCTGCACAGCAGACGTGCTCCGAGCCACAGCTCACCTGATGTCAAAGCGCAGCAGCAGGGCGATGAAGATCCCTGAGGGGGCAGAAAGGCAGGGTTAGAGAAAGGGACAGAGCCAGGTGCCCACTGCGGAGCGACAGCAGAGAATTCTGTACTTGGCCACAGCCACGAGCATCCCGGGGCTGCAGCACCCCCTTGTGGCCAACTTCACTATCGGTCCAGTGCTAGCGAAGTCAGTCCCCACTCGCTTGGCACTGGAACAATCTCGGCTACCCGGGTCAGTCGGTAACTTTCAAATCAACGAGGTGTGCTGTGGCACCTTACAGACTAGCCAATACGCTTTCATGGGCACAGCCCCATCCCCGGGGCCACAGGACGACGCCTTAGCTGGTGAAGCAGTGACCCTCAACCTGGGCCGACCCTGGGCTGCATCAGCCCACCTTGGTAGCTGCCTAGATTGACACCAGGCTACAACCAACTGCTAGATTGACACCAGGCTACAACCAAGGCCCTAGCAAAGCCAGTGCAAGCTACAATTTCCCGCAGCGACTGGCGTGCACTGCGCTCTCGACCGCACACTGACGGGGACGTTGATATTTACATTCCACCGGACTGTGTAATTACACGGGGACAGTCAGCCACTGTCCAGGAACCGCGGGGCTGCGGCACTTCTGGATGGATCTCGGGGATTGCGCGAGCCAGTCGCTTCGGAGGGAGGCATCACTTGGGGAGACGTGAGACCAATCGGTCTCCTGAGAGGGGTTCACTAATGTGGAGCGTCTGAGAACCGCTGTTGTAGAGCTCCCAGCCTCTCGCTGCACGGAGGGGGCCACCGAAGATCAGGGGAGCGTAGGCTGGGGCACAGGGCAGAGCGAGCTGAGAAGGGACGCCCCGGAACCACATGCTCACCCCACTGCCTTTCAGGCAAGTGGCCCCTAGTCTGGAATTCAAACAGGCAACCCCCCGGCATGGCCAAGCACGGCTCTCTCCCTCTCCATGCCGGGCAGCACAAGAGCACTTCCCTGGCCCTAACCAGGGAGGCCGGACGTACCGTCAGCACCCTGGGGCTAGAGCACGTGACACGGCCTGGCACACCCGTGAGCACCCCTAACCACACTGCCAGCAACGCTTCTACGCCGCCTGCTCCCCCCCAGCCCTTCGAGGGTCTGACGGCAGCAGCCAGGAGGAAAGGGATCTCCTACGAGGCCACAAGACAGCAGTGCAGCCCAGAACTCACAGCTGAGGCCGGCCCCAGCTCCCAGCAGGTGACTGGAGGCAGCCTAGGCCGGCATAGCACGGAGCCATTTGCCTCTAGGGCTGCAGATCAGCCTGGCAAGCAGACCACAGCTCTCAACAGCGCCAACGCCAAACCCTGGCTGGGCGGCTTCCCTCTGCAACTGCCCCCTTCCCTGCTCCCAGCTGCAGGCTCCCCCAAGGCCGCCTCTTCCCAGCAGCAGGTGTCCCCGATCTCCCCTTGAGGCCTCCACTCGCGGGGCCATGCCCTCCTTCAGCTCCTATGCAGAGGGGTCGCTGGCCACCCTGCGGCTTTTAGCTGGATGTGGAGCCTACGCGCCCCACCCCGGCCCCAGATGCGAGTCCCAGGCACTGAATTCACAGCCTTGGTGGAGACACTTCCTATTAACACACCATCAGTCCTCTTTACCTGGAATTACCACGTCCCCAAGGCCCAGCATGGCAAAGTTGTCGGCCTCCAGCCCCTTCTCCAGCAGGTCCTGGGGGAAAACCACTGGGAAGGCAGAGAGAGCTCAGGGTTAGAAGCACAAACACAAGCAGATGCGTTGGGTAGAGA